GCCGCAGGAGAGGCCTGAGGCCTCTAGAGGGGCCGGGGGGTCCCTGAGGGGCCGTCACCCCCCCGGGGCCACCGGGTCCCGCCGCCTGAGGCTCCGCTGCGGCTCCCGCCGAGGAGGGGGAGGCCGCCTTCTTCCCCGCAGGGCATGAGCGGAGGCACCGGAGCTGAGGAGCGGCCTGAGGAGCGGCACCGTTTCCCCCCGCCCGGCAAGTCCCTCCCCGTGCGTGTCAGGCCTGAGCCCTGCCCCTCGCTGTGCGTCCCCCCTCCCCCCCCCGCCGTGCCCCGGCCTCTGGGCAGCACCCCTCGGTGTCAAACAGCTTCCCCCCCTTCCCGCTATTGCTTTATTTCTCCATTAATGTCCGTATAAAATGAGCTTTCGGGGTACCGAAAGCAATCTTCCCATTACCTGAGGTGGTAACGCAACAAAAAAACGTGCCCGAAGGGGTCTGAGCCACTCTCACGCCTTCCAGCTGGCTGGCACAGTTCTGAGCCTGTGAGCAGAGTGCGGGGTCGGTTCCCTGAGGGAAGAGCTCAGGGTTTTAGAGTTCTCTGGGGAGCGGTTGGTTCTTTGGGTCTGTTCTGGTGGGTGACGTTTGCATCTCTGTCTCTGCTTAGATCTCAGCTCTGAGCCAAAATGGTCTCCTGCAGGCACTCGTGCGGGAAGTGGGGCAGCCTGCGGGCGCCGGTAAGCTTTTCCTCTGCTTCCTTCGTATTGATCTCGTTGTTTCCTGGTGGGGGAAATGCCTGGGGAGCTCGAAGGGAGCCCGAGGAACCCAGCACTCGGCTCACAGGCAAAGCTGTCTGGCTCCAGCTTGGCGAAGCCTTAGCCTCGCTTTGTCCCATATTTGCCGAAGAGAAACCTCGCAGCATCTCGGGGGATTCTGATCGGGGTTTCTTCCCCAGGGAAGGGGAAATCCTGCCTGGAGATGTCCTGAGCAGTGCTGGGGAAGGGAGCAAACAACCTCCTGGGGCCTCCCAACCGACTCTAACCTCTAGCGTACCTTTCTTCCAGCAGAGATCAGCGAGGACCTGTGTCGAGCCCAGGAGGAATGGGAGGCTGTGGAAGAGATACAGTCAGGTACAGCTGGTGCCAGGGATAAGGGGGATCATTACAGAGTTGGACAGAGAAGGTCTGGGCAGGGGAAGGGACCTGGGTCCCAGAGGGCAGGAGCAGGTGGGTGTGCAGCTGGGGGGATTACCTGAGGATGGGGAGAGAGCTGGGGAAAGGGCTGGAGGGAGACGGAGGGAGCAGGAGACCTGCTGCCTTCCCCCAGCTCCCCAAGTCTTTGCCCTCCTGCCATGCCAGAAGCTGGGAGTGAGCTCCCCGTGCTGGAACGGCCCCTCTGACCTGAGGCAGGAGCTCGTTTTGGCACCAGGAAGCTGGAGCGGAGGAGCAGGGCTCACGCTGGGGCAGGGAGCTAACCCTGTTGTCTCCTTCCCTGCAGGGCTGGGGGGGACGTCAGCCAGTGCCGCACCCCCAATCTCCTTCAATGAAGCGCTGCAGTACTTCCAGACAGCCGACCTCTCTGAGTGCAGGGTACGGGCAGGGCCCCGCGCTCTCGCCCTCTCTCGGGGGTAGTTTTAGTAAGTAGGAGAGGGGAGTGTGGTGGGAGAAGCACAGCACTCCCCTTTTTCCCTTCCACCTTCCCTCGGCTTGGCTCTTCATGTGGTCCCATCCCTCCCGGCTTGCCCACGGGTTTCTCTCCTGCCTGATTCCCCGAGGGACCAGCCCTGATCGTTTCTTTGCATGTTTTCTCCTCCACAGAAGAAAGTCCGGGCAACAGCGCGCAGGCAAGGCCTGGCTGCTCTGGTTCGCTTCCTCTTCGGTCCTCCCCAGCTCCAGCCGCAGCTGCAGGGAGAGCGGGAGCTGGCTCTGGCCATAGCACAGTGTGAGTGTCCCTTCCACCCCAACGCAAGCCGCTGGCCTGGCTGACATCACCTTTATCGTGAGAGCTTTGTGGGGGGGCTCAGGGGTTTTGTGGGGTCTCTGCCCGCTTATCCCATGGCAGCTGCTTGTTCCAAAGGATGCGTTCTCCATCTCCTTTGCTCCCTTGCTGCAGACATACTTCTAGTAGGGAACGATGCATCTCTTGACCCTTTTCTGTTGTGCCACAGTAGCCGTTCCACATGTACACCTTGACACGGCACCGGGCAGGTGCTCCATGGCTCTACAGCCCTTCCCACTCCTTGTTTCATGACCACAGCAAATGAGATGTGAATCTTCCCAGTGCCTTGGTGTGGTGTGTGTCATGTCTGGCTGCCCCATGGTGGATCACATGTGCTGAGCACATGGAAACTCCTCGCCTGTGGTTCCCTGGGCAGCGCAGCTTTGGCCAGCAAAACTTCACGTGATGCCGGAATTATTCATTCCCCCCACGCTCATGCAAACCCAGTCATATTAGTTGTGTTTCTGCACCTCTAATACATTTTCCCCTCCAGCAGGATAAACATAGCCCGAACATTCTCCTTGTCACCATAAGCCGTTCTCAACTGCGGGATTTCATTTCCAGCTGGCTCTGGCTTTACCCTGCAGCTGGTGGTGGTTTCTTTCCCTGCCATGTCTCTGTGCCAGTGCTTGAGGGCAGTGGGGCAGGGATGCTGAGGGGTGTTTTCTCTCCACCAGGTGGTTTGGATGATAATGAGAGAGTGCACATGAGAATCCTGCAGACCATTTACAAGAAGCTAACCCGCTCCAGGTTGGGCTGCCCACGCTATGGGGCACACTGGGAAGAGCTTGGCTTTCAAGGTAGGACAGAGGGAGAGACCTCTGGAGCAAACCTTTGCCAAGAGAGATCACGCTGGTCCCGTTCCCTCCTCTGGAGGTGGGATCTAGAGGCAGCGTAAAGGGTTTGCCACTCATCTCCCTTCACACGGTCCCTACTGCTGTGTCATAGAATCGTTGAGGTTGGAAAAGACCTTTAAGATCACTGAGTCCAACCGTTAAACCTAACACTGCCAAGTCCACCACCAAACCATGTCCCTAAGCACCACATCTACATGTCTTTTAAATATCTCCAGGGATGGTGACTCTGCCACTTCCCTGAGCAGTCTGTTCCCATGTTTGACAACCCTTTTGGTGAAGAAATTTTTCCTAATATCCAATCTAAACCTCCTCTGGTCCAACTTGAGGCCATTTCCTCTTATCTTATTACAGTTCCCTCAGGCGCCCCTCATAAGACTTGTGCTCTAGACCCTTCATCAGCTTCATTGCTCTTCTTTAGACACACTCTAGCACCTCAATGTCTGTCTTGTAGTGAGGGCCCCAAAACTGAACACAATATTTGAGGTGCAGCCTCAGATCAACACTCCCACCCAACTTGGTGTCCCCTGCAACTTGCCAAGGGTGCACTTGATCCCCTTGTCCAGATCATCGATAAAAATATTAAACAGAGCTGGCCCCAATACCGAGCCCTGGTTTCGTAGCAGATCTGTCACTGCCCCAGCCAGCTGTCACAACCAGTACAACATCTGGACTGGCTGGCCAGATGACACCAATACCCGCTGCCACGGTTGCCCGTGTTCAGATGGCGTGGGCATAACAAGAAGTAGTTGGCGTAACCGCTTTGCTTGGGCCATTAATGCTCTTCATTAGCAAGCGATCTCTGCAGCTAATGAGCTGTCTCCAGAGGGCTGGTTTATTAACGAAGCGCAGGTCAGGGCTCTGTCACTAAGGTTGCATCGCAGGTTGCTTTCAGCCTCTGCTGTGTAAGACAAACAGCATGATTAAAGCTGTCACATGTGGCCTCGCAGGAGTTTTCAGGCTGGTTGACTCGCAAGTTAAATAGGCCGGGTTTTAATGAAGCCTAAAACCCTCAACAGGAGGGAAACAGCTCCTGCTGCTCTGTCCTGTGGCATACACAACTGGTTTTAAGGGTTAATTTACCAGACAAATGTGCCCTGGGGTGGGTAGAGCTTAAAGCTACTAATTCCTAGAGAAGTCTCCTAGAGAATGGGTGTGTGGGTGGGAGAGCAAGAGCTTGTTAATGCCCATGTGAAAGAGGCGATGGCACCCATCCGGCCCTGGTTAGGGAAATTCCCTGAAAGCTTTCCCTCAGGATGCAATTCCTGAAGGGAATCACCAGGGTTCCTCCGCTCTTGAAATATGGTGACAGTGTATAAACAGCCTGCGGAAGCGGGGAGGTGACCAGAGAGCGACTCCATGCTGTCCCTCGCTTCTCTGGGCTGTCCTGCCCTTCCAGGTGCAGATCCTGGGACTGACCTGCGAGGGACGGGGATGCTGGGCTTGATGCAGATGCTGTACTTCGTCATGGACTCTCAGACACTGCCTCTGGCTCAAGAGATTTTCAAGCTATCCCAGCATGAAACCCAGGCATGTCCTTCCACCTCCTTTGCTTGCTCCCTGCTGTGGTATCTACCTGTTAATTTCTAATGCTCGGGGAAAGGGAAGCACAAAAACCTTCTCTTCAGAGTTAAGGGCTTGATTTTTTTTGCTGTTTAATCCCCCTCGTGCTGGTAAGGGGAAGAAGGTAGTCCCCAAAGAGCTGAGGAGTTCCGACCAGCAGCTGGAGCCAGGCTCCAGGTGTTGGCTTTATTCTGGGAATGAGATTTTAATGTCCTGGTGGAAATCAGAGATCTGCTCCTGGGATCCTGGCTTGAAGCTGAACTTGTACAGGATAAAAGGGCTGGAGAAGTGGGCAAAGAGCAGCGTGGCGTGAAAATGGGAGCGAGTGGAGCCAGTCTCAAACTTGGCGTTTTAGTCTCAGATATGGTTGGGTTTAAGCCTGGCTATAAGCTTGGCTTGATGCACAGCATCCATCTAAGCCTGTATCTGTAGTATTATTGTCCTCCTACATGGATCTGTTGCCTGCAGCCACCATCCCATGAGTTTGGGGCCACACAGATGTGGCATAGAAGGGCCGAAGGTGTTGTCCAGGCCCCTCTGCGTGCCGCAAGACAGGAGGCTTTTTCCAGCCAAGCTGCGATAATGCTCATTCTCTTGCAGAATTTCCCCTTCTGCATCATGTCCGTGAACATCACCCGCATCGTCATCCAGGCCCTGAGGGAGGAACGTCTCTCCAGGTGAGGTCTGGAGCGGCCGACAGCTCCGTAGCTGGGCTGGGTGGTGGTTTTGGGGTCTCAAACAGCATCCTTGGCTGGTTCCCGTTGAGTGGGGTCCCTCCCCAGTGGCTCCCTTGGCTGCTGGGACGGCAGCCGTGTTGGCTGAGCCCCTCTCTGCCTGTTTCAGGGAATGCAACCGCAGGCAGCAAGTCATCGCCGTGCTGAATGACCTGTATGCGGCGGCCTTTCTGCAGCTCTATCGTGTCTGGAAATGGCAGCACAAGACCATTGTCGACTCCAGCTTCCTCCTGAAGGGTTTGTTTCCCTGCACTTTCCTCTCCTTTCCCAGCTGAGGAAAATAACCCAAGGCCCAGAGGACAAACCTGGTGTGTTCTCAGCACATTCATGTCATGCTGAGACCAATCCCAAGGGGTGTAACACCCAGAAAGCCCCAACCATTCATCATTTAACCTTTACAATGACATTTTTCAACAGTCTTTAAGTACCCAAGTTCCCCGTGGGGTGGTTTTTTCCCCCCATTTTGCATCTCAAATCTTAAAGACGAGCACCCGTGGAAGCGCCCGCCATGTTTGGAGGGCTGCTGTGTTGTGGTGGCTTGAGGTGGGTGACAAATGGGGATGCTTCTTGCTCCCCAGGCTCGCTCATGTCATTCAGTGTGGTTGCATAAGCCCTGTTTGTGGCGTGGGGTGTAAGTGGAGTTGCCGATGGCGTGTTTTTCGCAGTGAGCGCTAAATTAACTGGCGGGGTTATTTACTCCGGAGGAGACTGATGTCAACAGAGCTGCTCGGATGCGCTGTGCTAATGGCTCCCTCTTAAAACGGGGTCCAGCTGTTGCATTCAGGCTCAGCTTTGATCCGCTCGCCCTGGGCTTTCCCTCCCGTGGGGATTTCGGGGGAGCTGAGGCTGATGCTGAGCTCAGCTGGGGGTTTTGGCAAAAAGCTTTTCACGCTCTGTCATCCCGAGCAAAACATAATTGTGCCCTTTCCTGAGGGGATACAGTGGGACACCAGAAATAATACATGAGTCAAAAACCCTGGGAGTGTGCTGTGTTCCTGACACCATCGAGACCTCGCTCTCTGTCCTTATGCGTTTCCCTCTTACCTCCCCAGAGCTGGAGTTATCCACCAAAAAGAAACCAAAGCAGCTCCTGAAATCCCTGGAGGCCTACGTGAACCGAAGCCCCACGGCAGACAGCCTTCAGCAACCATTCTTTTCCTCTGCCTCTGGCGGCAGCGGCAGCCAGCCCAACGAGGAGATCCACTTCACGGGCGTTTGTGACCTGCAGGTTGAGCTGGAAGGAGAAGCCCGACTGATCTGAAATGGAGGAAGATGCGCTGCAGGGAGCTCTGCTCATGGCTCAGCTCTTGGTGGATGCCTGGCTGCTGTCGCTTCTGGTTAAGGGGGAGCTCAGGAAGGGCCATGCAGGTCGAGGTGGTAGACACAGAGCGATGGGAGGTGGCTGCTGCCCTGAGAAGTGCAGCAAAAGAAGGGTCTGGGACCAAGCTGAGGGCAGTTGGGAGCCTGGGATGCCATTGAGGGTAGATTTTTGCCCTAAACCCCCAGAAAGGGTGGCCCGGTCCTTCCCCCTCTTGCCCCACAAGCGTCCTGGCTGCAGTGTCAGCATTGCTCGGTGCTGTGGGAGCAAGCCGCAGGATTTGACCCTCTCCAGGCAGAACTCTCCTGAAGCAAAGGAGGAAAATGTGGCAGAGCGAGTGGCTTTCGTGGGCCACTAGCCTGGGGACTGGGATAGTCTGTTTGCCTGTCTCAAATCCATGCTCCTGTCTGTCTTTACCCCCAGCAGGAAAGTCTTGTGATGTTCCATGCAGAGCTGGAGCATGGTGACAGGGGTCCTGAATCAAATCATGGCTCTGACAGCATCTGGGAGGGTTTAAAACCCCCTGGCTTTGGGCCACAGCACCTTAATTTTGCATTGATGGCGGGATAAGAGCACAAGCACAGCCCTGTTGCTGGGGCAGTGGGGGCAGCTCGTCCCCCAAGGTTTGGCGACCCCCCCGAAGTCCCCTGGGATGTTACTGTGTGTGTCAGCTCCTAAAGAAGTTACTAAAAGGAGGGAAAAAATGCTTTTCTTGGTGTAACAGAGACTTTTGGACTTGGATTTGCTTCTGGTCTTTGCAGCTGGGTGAGGGGAGAGGGTTTCTGCTGGTAGGGGGCCGCTCTAGAGAGCGGGGAGGGGCGAAGCGGGGTCAGTCTGGCGCCGAGGAGCCAAATTTGGGGTTCAGCAGTGGAAAAGCTGCTCTGGAGGAGAGAAACCAGGGTTGGATTCTGTCCCAAGGCGAGACGAAGCCAAGAGCAGGAAGAAAAGTCCCTCCTCGTCTGCAAGGGCAGCTGCTTGCTTTCAGGAAAACCTTGTTGAAGAGGAGGCAAGACTTTTGCTCAGGAGTTCCCAGAGGCTGGGGTGTGGTTTCCCAACACGCTCCCTCCTTTCCCAGCCCTCCGTGCCTCAGTTTCCCCCTTTAGGAAATCCAATTTACAGCCCCGTCCTGCCCCGGGTGCAGCAAGGGGATGAGCCAGGAGCAGTAATGGCCGCTCCGTGCCTGATGTGAGTCCTCAGCAGGTGCTTAGAAATGCTTGAAAAGCATCTTCAGCCCTCAAAAGAAGGCGAGGGGAATAAAAGCCCCCAAAGCCCAGATCTGGAGATAAAAGATGTGTTTGAACAAGAGAAGCGAGGAGCTGGTGGGATAAGAGAGCGGCATGGTGCTGAATGGGCCCTGACAGCTGCCTGGTGCCGTTGCCTCTCTAAAAAGGCAATGGCCTTCCCCGTGGGGCTGGAAAATGCTTTCCCTTGCCAAAAATTAAAAAAAAACCCAAAACTAATAAATGGGCAAAAACGAACCTGATGGTGTTTTTTTTCTTTCCTAATCCTGAATTATTGTGTAAATCATTTGGAGGTGTGGGAGGAGGGTGGGATGGGGGCAGCCAGGCTCTGAAGAAAACAAAAACCACCTTGGGGCTGGTTTTGAGGGGGACGAAGGGGAGCATGGGCTGGGCTCCCCCCGGGGCTGGGGCTGGAAGCGGGAACTCCAGGCTTGCCTGTTTTCCCTGGCTACCTGGGCCCGGTGAGAATGGGGGTGCTGGGGAGGTGGGTACGAAGCGGGGGGGTGCCAGGGAGGGATGTGGGGTCCCCATGGGTGGGAGGATGGGGGTCCCGGGGGAGGATGGAGGTGCCAGGGGAGGGATGTGCGTGCTGAGGGAGGGCTGGGGGTGCTCGGGGGGGATGTGGGTGCCGGGGCAGGGCTGAAGGTGCCAGGGAAGGGATGCGGGTACCGGGAAAGAGGGGAGCGGGCAGCGAGAGCAGGA